GAGGGGTCCAGGGCGGGCTGGGGGGGGGGTGGCACATGGCGGTGGCTGTGAAGCGGGACAGTAGGAAGCCACCACCCCCACAGTAGGGCGGGTAGTGTTCCTCCTCTGTCACCACCTTCGGCACATAGTACTTGCTCCAGGGAAGGCAGATGGGGCACACACTGTGGGTCAACTGCCCCACAGAGAGGTGGTGGTCAGGGTTGTCGCCCTGCAGGTAGGTGACCACGTTGTCTGGGTGGGCAAAGATGTCATCATCCCACCTGAGCATAAAACTGGCATGTGCCCTGTGTCTTCTGCCACTGTAGGAAGAGCACCTGCAAGGGGGGGTGGACAGGGCACACAGGCTTGATGCCTGGGGCAATCAGCTTTGGGTCCCTGTCGGCCACCCCAACCCAGCGAGGCCAGGCAAGGATGTGTTTTCCAGTCAGGCTATTCTGGGTTAAAGGACTCACTCTGTGGTCCTTTGCAACCAACTGCCCCTCTCTGTGCCTCAGTTTCCAACTTCCCAGACAGGACACATCATGGGACCTGCCTCCAGGAGTGTTGGGGATCTACAGAGATGATGCTCTGTAAAGCACCAAGAAGTGCTTGAAAATTGTCACATTTACATTTATTGCTATTCCTTCTGACTCTGCCTTGCCAAGCATTACCATTAAATAATTACTTGTATGACTGTTATATAACATCTACCTCCCCCACCAGACTCTGGGGTCCCCCTGGGTGGGAGCTGTGTCTCACCTATGTGCCATCTCTTCGGCACCCATTATGGGGTCAACACTTTGTAGGCACTGGATTCATGTTTGTCAAGTTGATGTTTATCACATGCTTTTGTGTTCTGCGTTAAGAACGTGGCATGCGGACTTCCCTGGTGGTGCCGTGGTTGAGAGTCCGCCTGCTAATGCAGGGGACACGGGTTCGTGCCCCGGTCTGGGAAGATCCCACATGCCATGGAGCAGCTGGGCCCGTGAGCCATGGCCGCTGAGCCTGCGCATCCGGAACCTGTGCTCCGCAACGGGAGAGGCCACAATGGTGAGAGGCTCGTGTACAGCAAAAACAAAACAAAACAAAACAAAAAAACCCCAAAGAACGTGGCATATTAAGAGGTTCTGGGCCCTCTACCCGCCTCAGCTTCAGTCACCTCCATAATAACTTTGGCTGCATGCTAGGCACTGTACTCAGTGCCTGCTCTACCTTGAATCCTTAATACAATTTTAAGAGGCAGGTGTGGTCTTCAATCCCATTTACAGATGAGGAAATAGAGGCTCTCCAGAGAAAGTGCCTTGAGCAAGGTCATACAACAGAGAAGGTCTGTTGTTCAAAGTCTTGAACCCAGACCTGTCTGTACTTACTATGAGCAGGAACCTGCACTGGGCCCCTTTCAACTTGTGTCTCTACTCAGCTTACTCCATCCCCACCCTCCACATCCTGGGTAGGTCCTTGGAGCCTTCAATTCCTCCTCTGAGCATAGGCAAGTTTCTGTCTACCTCTCATGGTTTCTTTTCCATCGGAAAGGTCTTTGTTGAGTATCTTCCACACAGACCTGGGCCTCATGGGGAGACAGAACCAGAACAAAGAAATAAGATGTGTTCTGTCCAGCTCACCCCATGCACCATTGCCAATGTTATCTGAGCACCTGGCACTGGTCCAGGTGCCTTATGAATATCATCTCATGTAATCCTCACAGCAGCCCTCAGAGGTGGGTGAGTTCAATTAATATCCCATTTCCCTGATGAGCAAACTGACGCACAGAGAGGTGAATGATCATCCATGGCAAACAGCAGATAAGCAGCAGAGTCTCGATTTGAGCCCAGGTCATCAAGGTTCGGAAAGCCAGGCTTGTAAGTCCTTTCTCCCTGCCTCCCTTGGACAAAGGAGACTTCAGATCACCATGAGGACAGTAGATGGGTTGGGGCGAGGTTGATGGGAGTTTCTGGTCCCCAGAGCTCCTCAGAGGAGGTGGTAGCAACTTTGGGGAGGAAGGAGAGGTGGCCCCAATCACGTGACACCCTCCTGCCCCCAGCCCACCTGTTTGAGCGTGAGGTTGAAGAAAGAGTCGTAGAAATCCCACTGCAGGATGTCACCGTGCATCCGCGCCTCCATGGCCTACAGCCGGTTGACCTTGCGCGCCTCCAGCGGGCTGGGGTCCGTGCCCACGAGGAAGAGGCGGCGCAGCCGGACGCCGTGCACCTGGTGCTCACGGCCCCACCTGCGCCGCACCAGCTCCCGGTGCTCGTAATTGCTGGGCGAGGACTTGATCACCAGCAGCAGAAAGATTGGTTGCACGCATTCGTCAGGCGGCGCGTCCTGGAGCAGCACGACGTCGCGGCAGTGTTTGTACAGCAGGAAGTTGCGGATGTGCTGCGGCTGCCTAGCGAAGTCCGGCAGGGCGGCCATGGAGGTGTTGGCCAGGCAGGGGGCGGGCGGTGGGCGGGAGGGTGGCGAGGGCCAGACCAGAGCCACGGGGGTGCCCGGTGGCTCCTTCAGGCCTGGGCAGGTGGGTGGTGACCTGCAGATTGAAGAGGAGGAGGGTGAAGGTGCCCAGAGCCACAGCCAGGCCCAGCTCTGTCCGCAGGTGCCGAGAACACCTCATTCTGGCCCGCCTGAGCTTGGGATTGGTCCGAAGAGACCCCTGGGCAGCTCCTGCCGACAATAACACTCACTGAAGATGCCTGAAGATGCCAGATGGGCCAAGCACTTTTCCAGAGCTACCTGTGGACCCCAACACCTGGTTGCAGCCCTACAGTTGCTCAAGTTGGAAAAATACTGAAATTCACCCCCAGAGATTCCCCCGGCTCCCGCCTCCTCCAGTACCCCATGTTGGCTCTGACTGTTGCCCAGGTCCTACCGGGGGATCAATAGTTACAGAGAAAACAGGCATGGAGATGCCAAGGTGAGCCTCCCAGATTCAGTGTGCCCAGAATCCTGCCCCCCCATCCAAGCTGGTCCTCTTTATGTCCCTCTCTCAGAGATGGCCCAGGAGCCTCCCCGAGAGAGGCAGCGAACTCCCTTTTTAGCAGTTGAGAGCTGCTGGGATCCTTCCTGCTTCCCTTTTCACTTGCTCCTCCAGGAAGCTCTGAGCTTCTGGGATTCTGATATAACCATCACTCATTCTTCTTGACTATTTTTAATGGTCCTGTGAGCTGAGCATAGGCCCTGGCTCTTCACAGAACCCTCAGGCCCAGCATGTGTCAAACAAAGCTATCTTCTTTGGCAAACTCCTCTTCCTCCTTTAAAACCCATCTCAAATGATCCATTCTCTGGGTAGTCCTCTTGGACCTCTCAGGAAGTGTCCTGGTTTCCTATTTAGCCCTGTCTCCCTCTCTGGCTAGGTCATTGAAACAGGAGGGAAGGGGACAGGGCACAACCTTTTTTTTTTTTTTTTTTTTTTTTTTTTTTTGCGGTATGCGGGCCTCTCACTGCTGTGGCCTCTCCCATTGCGGAGCACAGGCTCCGGATGGGCAGGCTCAGCGGCCATGGCTCACGGGCCCAGCCGCTCGGTGGCATGTGGGATCTTCCCGGACCGGGGCACGAACCCATGTCCCCTGCATCGGCAGGCGGACTCTCAACCACTGCACCACCAGGGAAGCCCCCAGGGCACAACCTTTGAAAGAATGACATAGCCCACAGACATGACATAAACTGACTAGAACCAAATGGATCCAGGATGGCAGACAAGTCAACTTCCACTAGACCTTGAGCCTCAGTATACACTCACTGTAACACATCAGCAAGCTAAATGACACTATAGGCACCATGACAGTTCCAAGACCGACCATAAGGATCAAAAAGTGGGCGGTGGCCCAATTCTTGGAAATCCCCGCCCTTTCCCAAAATAGCTGAATACTCCTCCCACTCATTAGCCTATATAATTACCCACCCCTATAAAAACTGATAACCCCATACCCTGGTGCCTTTCTCACCTGATATGGTGTGTGATCTCAGTTGGAAGACTGTGGGTTTTGGCCAGGTTCGAGTCTAAGTGTCAGTCTGGGTTTAGGCTGGGTTCGAGTCCCAGCACGTGGTTTCAAGTCCCAATCTGAGGTGTATGGTTTCATCATGATCTCTGACTTTTTCTTCCCAAGACTGGGGGCTTCTTGAGGGTCCTGGCATTGCCCAGCATGAGGCAAACACATGGGGGAAGCAGAGAGTGTCTGAATGAATGAATTTATGAATAAAAGTAAATTCATTAAGTTTCTCTCTGGCACACTTTTTGGGCGGGGGTGGTGGTGGTGTGAACTAGAAAAGAGCTTTATTGCTTTGCCAGGGAAAAGGGGGAAGCAGCAGGCTCGTGCCCCTCAAAACTGTGTGTCCCAACCCAGGAGGATTTGGCAATGGTTCAAGGGCAGGGTTGCTGATAAGGGTTAGGGTGTGTGAAGGGCCTGCACTCCTTTAATCTGGTCTCCGGTGGTCTTTTCTGGAGTGAAGAATGCTAACATTTTCCATTTGTTGGGGGTTTTAGTTCTGGTCTCAGGATTTAACAAAGCTCAGGTTCTTGATGTCTCGTCACAAAGAATTCAGTGAGAGACAAAGTGATAGGTAAGAAGTGGATTTATTTAGAGAGAAACACACTCGACAGAGTGTGGGCCATCTCAGAAGGTGAGAGCAGCCTGGCATACTCTTACTTATCCGTCAACGCC